CATCTCTTTTGCCCTCTTTCTAATCTTTTGCCCTAGTGACATACCGTTTTCTTTAATTATTATTCTAACAAAGTTTTCTGGAAATGCCTCATAAGGGTCTCTTACTTTGTCATGGTCTCACCTAGGTGGTTGAGACCTGGCAGCTCCCTCCCACCTTTTCCACTCTGCCCTTTGCCACACTGCATGTTCTGTACCCTGGCCCAACTCACATGTCCCTCTCCTGTCTTAGCTGCCAGCATCCATCTTTTCTATAATTCACTGGGTTCTTTTCTTTCTTTTTTTTTTTTTTTTGAGCCAGAGTCTCGCTCTGTTGCCCAGGCTGGAGTGCAGTGGCGCGATCTCAGCTCACTGCAAGCTCCGCCTCCTGGGTTCATGCCATTCTCCTGCCTCAGCCTCCCGAGTAGCTGGGACCTGTACAGGCACCGCTGGGTTCTTTTCATACAAATCTCCTTAATGGTTGACTGTCATTTTCAGTGAATCCTCACAAGACAAGCCTAATTTCAGAGACCAGTTTTAATGCAGGGCATTCTTTCCTGATTCCCTTTGGTGTTTGTCTTCCTTTGTTTGTGTAACTCTTATCTTTACATTATGGCAGTGCATTCAGTATTTTCTTGCCATGGAAAGCCCCCCCCCGCCCCGCCTCCTCGCCCCATTTCGTCATCCTCTGTAGCGGCTTCAATAGATTACTACCTGGACTTCCTCAGATCCCTGTAACCTCTCATTGTATCAGTCAAACCATTTAAGTAAAAAATTCCCACCAAGGTTTCAGGAACATTATCTCTACTAACACCATTCGTATTTACTTCCTTAATATCTTTCTCTGTATCAGGTCCTTACATATAAGTGTCTTCTGTCTTTACCTCCACATAAAACCCAGCCCCTGTGCCCAGTCTGTGATCTACCTTCATACCTGATGTTGTCTCTTTATTTCTCCTCGTTTGCTGTAGCCTCTCTGCTTAATTGGAACCACACTGGGTTGCTGTTAGCTATTTGCTTAATGTCTCTCCTGACTCTTCATTCTAACTTGATCATGACCTTTTCCCTACCATATCCTGTATCTCTTTCATTGTTTAAAAAAAAAAAAAAATGCCTCACCTGACCTATTCTGGCCTTGTGTTAACTTTCACTTCTTTCTTTCTTTCCCCTTCTCCCTGAAGAAAATCCTGTCTTTATTAAAGCACACTTGTTCTTTCCTCAACCCCTAATAGCACTGAAATTGAGTCTGCAGACTTGATAGGTTCATTCTTTCCTATATGGGGCAACCCACCGCCATCATCTGTTTTCAGCGGATTCTGTTGAATCCATCTGCTCTCTGAATTCAGACCCATTCTTCATAGTCCCCACCAGTGGCTTAAATTAGGCACATCTTGTCTAGCTTATCTCTAACCTTTCAATCTCTTGACTGCCTCAGCTCACCAGAGCCTGTTGGAAAATCATTTGAAATACAAGGTATTTTACAATTTATTCCAAAACAAATTCTCTTCTCAGCGCCTAGGCATTAGCCTGCCTCTTACTATTTCCAACTGCCCCATGGACTTTCTGGCCTCTTTCCTTTTGCTTGTTTGTACATCTTCCTCTGCTTGCCAAAGCTCTTTTGCATCTTTTGAGAGCCAATTAAACTACTGTGTCGTTTAACATTTTTTACAGTTTTCCCAGGCTATTGGTTAATCCTGCACCTTCACATGGCACTCTCTTAAAACTTAAAGGATCTATGGCATTGAGTTGTAATGTCATAGATCGCACACACACAGCCTCACACGCTTACTTAACTCCTAGACAGCTCCTAGAGACAGAGGTCATGTCTCAGTCATCTTTTTATCCAAGTGTCTGGCACATAAGCTTATACCTTTACATGTAATGTCAACATGTATTGACAGTCACTACATGTGTGGATGGATGAATGGATGGAATTTAAAGTCAAGACTGAGCAGATGAAAGTCTTATTACCCAACCTGTCATATATGATCTTTACATCTGAGCCCGTTCTTTCCTCTCCTTGCCTATCCCCCAAATAACTTTTTAACTCCCCCAATATGTAATATTTTTGTACCTATAAGCTTTTTCCAGACCATAGATAAGATCCTAAATGCCTTTTCTTCATCCCTGCTTGCTAAGTCCCCTTCCTCAAACATTTCAGAAAATCCTGTCTTCTTTATAAAGACTTCACTTTCCAAAAATGTACCCCCACCTCCATTTCTTATTACTTAACACCACTCGTGTGAAAACATACAACTGCCCACTTGCTTTTCCATTTAAGACACTGACTTTACCAATAATAGAAACTGATTACTGACCTCCTCACTTTAGGCTGAAGGTTGACAGATAAAGCAAGTTCTGTCTGGTGATTTGTAGACCCGCTATCAGTCCACAATCTAAAGATAGTATTGAGATGCTGATGAGATTGGTCAATGTTAATCTGATAATCTGTATGCTTTTTTTACCATCGGTTTTTTTTTTTTTGGTCAGGTCCTACAGCAGTGGTTCACAAAATACTATTTTTCAACATTTAGGCCTCTTTGAGATAGGCATGGCAAAAAGCCCCCAAAAGGACCTCTCTACTGCTTTCTTCATACCAATAGAGAAACAGTTTGCCCATGTTATCATTCCTGTACTGCTGTAACCCACAGCGTGGAACAGACTTTACATTCATGCTTTGTGAGACTGCCTTTCTGACCCGCTTGCAGGCTGCTTTTGAGAACCACTACCCTAGAAAACAGGGCATGTGTATTTAACTAGAAAATGTGGAACACAATGCTGAGTACAGGTGGCACTTCCTAAGAAATGATGGAAACTTCTCGCTTGCACTGCCCACTGATGCAGGTTTGCCTGCCTTCTCCTCCAGTTGCAGGCACCTTTAGCTGCACCATGAAGTTTACAGTCCGGGACTGTGACCCTAACACTGGAGTTCCAGATGAGGATGGGTATGATGATGAGTATGTGGTGAGTCTTCCCAGCAGAGAGACTTCCTTTGATACCTTCGCAACACTAAGTGACTTCTGCCTTGAGAGAACATTTTTCTAGGAGCATCTGACATAAACTTACGGGATTTCTATTCTTCTGAAACAGATGACAACTTAGGAGGACCTGGACTAACCCTCCTCTGTAACTGGACAGCATCAGGCCAGAGATAATTGAGATTTACCACTTCATCATTAAAACAAACTCACCCTTTTTTTTTCTTTATAATAGGGATAATTAAGAAATGAAAATAATTACATGATTTTCATTGAAATCAGTTTTATTTAAAATGATTTGGGGTGGGGGGTTGGTTTTGTTTTTTGGTTTTTTGTTTTTGCTTCAGCAACTGTTAGTTTATAGCCAGATCATGGATTAAAAAGCCTTCACAGAATGGAGGGAAAACTTTTAAAAATATCAGCCTCTTAGTGAATGATCAGAGGGTACTGTGTGCCCAGAACTCAGTGGTCAAGTGTGGGTACAACATGACTACTCTGTACCTCAGGGCTACAGATGTTGATCTGAATTTGGCTCTTGCCAGATGTTCTGTTTTCTTGCTTTCCTTTGCTAAGGGCTCCAGCATTAGATTTATCCAGACTACAGAACTTAAACTATTTTGGTGGTAGAGTTTTCTCTAGGCTCCAGAGAACTATATTAATTCCTTTATCTTTGCCCTATAACAGAAAGGACTTTTCTTTACTGACTGCTTGTTACCCCCTAGCTAGAAGATCTCGAAGTGACTGTGTCTGACCACATTCAGAAAGTACTGAAGCCTAACTTTGCTGCTGCTTGGGAAGAGGTGGGAGATACCTTTGAGAAAGAGGAAACCTTTGCCCTCAGTTCTACCAAAACCCTTGAAGGTGAGACCCATTTTGCTATCAGTATATTGCCTGATAGCAGTATAACACCTAATAGGTATATTTGTTACTCCAGAAGAACTCCTTGTAAAAAAAAAACTTCATAAATCTCTTACTTAAAAGGCCAGCACCCTGTCTTCATCATCTAACTGATCAGCCATTTTCTAGTCCAAGTAGCCTCCCTCTACACATCACCAACAGCCCCTTCCACCCCAGCTCCCAGCATATACTGGTGCAGAGGGAGATCCCTGTGCTTTACTTTCCTAATACTGTCTCATACATCTTCTCAACACAGAGGCTGTCAACAATATCATCACATTTCTGGGCATGCAGCCATGTGAGAGGTCCGATAAAGTACCTGAGAACAAGAATTCCCATTCGCTCTATCTGGCAGGTAAGAAGCTTCCATCAGATTTTCCTTCCATTTTCTTACAAAGCTTAATAGGATATAGATGGGCATCTTACGCCTTGCTCTTGTCCCATCATCCCATTATATGAGCCACGATGTGAAACCCAGTCAAAATGAATTAATTTGTTTTGCATGCTATTCTTAGTTATTCTTTTAAGATGTACATTTGACCTAAAACACTTAAATCTCTCCAACAGATACCAAGGCCACCACCAGCATTCCTTTTGAGTACTCCAAATTGGTATTTTTGAATACCTTCTATGTACCTGGTTTCATGGGAATATAAAAAATATATATTTGGAATATATATTTGGAATTTATGCGTAGGATTCAATTTCCACAAATCTCTGGAAAACTAAACTAATAGAAAGGAGATGCAGGGAGAGCATGATAAATTTCATTATCCAGTGCTTGTTTTGGGTTCTTAATATGGTTTTCCTCACTTTTTTCTCTCAGGCATATTCAGAGGTGGCTATGATTTATTGGTGAGGTCCAGGCTGGCCTTAGCCGATGGAGTGACCATGCAGGTGACTGTCAGAAGCAAAGAGAGAACACCTGTAGATGTTATCTTAGCTTCTGTTGGATAAAGGCTTACTGGACAAGAGGAAACTGATGTACACTTCACGGTCAGTGGGCTTTTAGGCTAGTGGCATCAGTTTCCCAGAATCACACTTTTGAAGATGAATGACTTTGGAGAAGCAAATTAAACATTTGGCCCTGAGCCAGCAGATCAAGCAGGTGTCTATCTTTGTGCATGGGTTGTTTTTTTTTTCTTTTTATTATACTTGGTCAGCTTTGGTACAATAGTGCAAATTCAGGTGATCTTGAAAATCAAATACTATCCTATACTCCAGCTGCTTAACTTCATTTTATTCTTTAATTTAATGTGTACCTGAAAGCTCCTGGCAATGCTGGAAAATTTTTATCCCAGAGGGGTGGGGGTGAGGGGGAGGGGAAGCCAGAGTCCACTTTTGTCACAATTCATTTTTATTAATAGAAAATAAACACTTATTCCAGTTTCAAAGTTGTTATACTTGAAGTTGCTAATTTTAAAAAATGAATTTTAAATAATCACTTAATCCTGCTTTGACTAAGACAATGAAATGTGGCTTAAAAAAAAAAGTGTTCAGCACCATTTGCTCATAGGTCTTTCAGAGTTTGTTCTTAAAGTTTCTGGAACTTTCCTGTCTGTAAAGTGTAGGAATTACTGAGCTACATTGGAAAGCCTCTCTGGGACAGGCAATGGGGAGTTAAGCAGTCATCATAAAGGAATCAGTGTACATTCAGCATGGTGACTTGGACTACACAACAATCCCTTCCCCTCTACAGTAGCTCAAGAGAAACATGCTTCTAAGCACTGAGGTATGAGGAGTCTCAGACTGTTATTTGCTGTTAGAATTGGTCTTCCCAGCTAATAACAGTAAATATCTGGCACAGATGCTATTGGTCCTTAATGTCCTGTGATTTTAGGAAGTAGTTTGGATTTAGTTCAATTTATTCAGAAATCAAACATGTTTAATTAGCTTCACTACTCTGGCAGAGTAAGGGTATGCTGGTTTAGTGTCTTTATAAAATATATGTAATGTATAGGTAAATCATAGTCTTAAATCAAATACCTAGAATACTATATTATTTAAACCAATATCTATTTTAACAAAATGTTTATAACTAAAAATAGCTGATGAAACTAAATCCAAAGGTATGGCAAAGAGGACTCAGCTCTGTGTTGCTTAAAGAACTTTTAAAAGGCATGTGCCCATAAAGTCATTCAAGGAGAGGGAAGAAGGCCCCCTTCGCCTCCTCCTTACTATAGAATTCCTGTTGGGGCTGGGCCAGAAATGAGCACTTCTAAATATTTCAGAGAAATCCAAAGTGTTAAAAAGTATTTTATGCAAAAGAACGTCTTTCTGTATCAGTGAATAGTAATGCTCATCAGAATTTCCTAATAACACAAAAACAAAGCCAAGATACATTTGATCAGATGTCAAAGTAATGGGAGGTGGACTATTATGTCAACTTTAGTCAGAGCTCCTGCTGGCTTCTTCCTATACACTGTTCACCAATTTGAGTAGTGGACTTTGTGAGAGAATAATGTTTGATGGCCAGGACCTCTCTTGGGCATTTCTTCCTAAGTGGAATACACAACAGATAAGGGAGTAGGGGAGGTAATACAGGGAAGCTACTCTTTCCAGCTCAGAAGGAGTTGATGAAGCCCATATATGCATTCAAGAAGCCCATGGGATCCTCTAGCTGTGGATAGTGGCTAATGTGGTCATCCAGAATCGACACTGTGGACCGCGGCAGCGTTTTCCTAGTGGAAGAGAACAGCACGCAGGTGAACTTGAGGCTGGAGGAGGAGGGATGTAAGCCAGTGGGAAGCCCCAGTAAATGACCCTGTGGACACACTATACTGGAAGGAGCCACCAAAGAGCTTATTCACCTTCTACTCTGAAATTGTATCTTAGGCAGGTAAACTTGCCAATTCCATTTATACAAACTAGTTTTTAAATGTTCATAATCCAACAAACAACAACTTGAAAATATAACACTTTTGCAACAATTGTCAAAGCAAGATGATTTTCAGCTCCTTAGAGAAGGATGAAGCATCAAACAAGTGGATCACACAGCAACTCACTGCCCAAGCAGAGATAACCAAGGATCTTCCCTTAATCCCAGAAGATGAGATGGGGTATTTTATTTAAAATTATATGCAAGCTGTTTACTACTAGCTTGTATCCAGTAGGCCACAGGAAGGTATGGAACATTCTTATGTGACATAATCAATCAAGATTTCATACTCTGATACCTTCCAAGTAAGTACCCAGAGAGAATAGCAACCAATGAGAAGGCACTTTTCCACAATGAGCTCTTCTCAATCTCTCCTTGCCATCTGCTCAGCCTAAGTCAATGAAATGGCTTTACAATCGGACTAAAACAAACACTTTGTAGGATATATCCACTTTCAACCTTTGACTCACATGAGAGCTTTTTGTACACCAAGGAATATGTAGCAGTCATGACAGTGAAAACAGACTATGTATAAATCAAGAGAATGTATAACTGAATTTCTTGATATTACAATTATGTTAGAATAAGATTCCTCAACTCAATCCTTTTATTGTTTCCTGGATGAACAGCCAGTGAGGTTAGAGACAATGGCTAGACCCAGTAGCCCTCAACAGGTAATACCACTGTCAGGATGAGATACTAACAAAACATAGACCTCTCTCGGGGAGACTCACCTGTACAGCTCCAAAAACTCTGGATAAGGATTTACAGGATCCAATGGCCCATAGATAAAATGAACTAGGAAAGAGAAAAGGAATGAAATACTTAACAGCTCTCACATCTGTTTTACTCCCACCCTAAAATTAACTCCTCTCCAAAAAGAAATGTTTTCTTCTCCCTTTTTTTATTATAATAAGCAAGGTCTCTCTCTGTTGCTCAGGCTGGAGTGCAGTGGTGCAGTCATAGCTCACTGTAACCTCAAAACTCATTGGCCCAAGCGATCCTCCCGCCTCAGTGTCCTCAGTAGCTGAGACTTTATACAGGTGTGCACCACCACACTTGGCTAACTTTTAAATTTATCTGTAGAGAAAAATTTGCGCACTGTGTTGCCCAGAGTGGTGCCAAACTCCTGGGCTCAAGCAGTCCTCCCGCCTCAGCCTCCCAAAGAGCTAGGATTACAGACGTGAGCCTCCTCAGCCAGCCCACGAAAATATTTTCTATAAATAATTTTTTTGTGTGATAGAAAACCTAGCTTGTTTTATTAGGTAACCTCTAAAGAGCGGCTAGGAATGCACCAGTTCATTCATTGGATACATCTCCTCCTATAGACAACCACCTGGTCCGTCATCCAACTCTCCTGCACCCTAGACCAAATGGAGTATGCCCATCTTTCAACATTCTCTAAGTCCAGGATACTGTCATTCTTTAAGTCTCTCTTCAGTTATAACAGACCTTTGACATTTGAAATCAACTGATAATTTCCTGAGCACTAATCACTATGTGTGAAACACTGTAATTTTCGTTTTAAATCTGTAAGAATGAAAAGACAAATAAGTACAAACCACCTATAGCCTCTTAATTAGTAATCCAAACAGCCTTCTGTCCGAGCAATGCAGCATGTAATGTGGCAGTCACTGACAATGCACACCACAGAAATCAGTAATGCCAACTGCCTTTACTGTAATATCTCAGTTTTCTATATACTTCACTCTACACACAAACATCACTGTTCCAGATGTCATGAGTACAGTTGCCAGTAAAATAAAGGATACCCAGATACATTTGAATTTCAGATGAAAAATGATTTCTTTTTGGTTTAAGTAGGTCCTAAATATTGTACAACACATACTTAAATACTAAAAAAGCATTTGTTGTTTATCTGAAATTCAAATTTAACTGGGTATCTTAACATTTTTATTTGCTAAATCTGGTAACCCTAATTGTATAAAGAAGTTGCAATTATTTTAACCCTATAGTCCTTCAGCTTCCTATCAATAATATAAAAATACTCACTGGGGATAGTTACAGAGGCAAGAGCTCCCACCCAGCGCCTTCTGAACTTCTTCCGCTGATTGATGTACTGTAAGAGACTGTAGGACAGGTAAGTCAGCATGAGCAGAACAAGAAACCTTTACTGTTACAGGGATTCAAAGGCATGACAAGAGCCACAAGGAATACAAGATACAATTTCTTAATCCAGAAGCAGTTTAGCATTCCTGGAAATGTCCCACTTAATTTACCCATTTCTGTTAACCTCTAGAGTTAACCACCATGTAGCTCTAGTAGTGATTATGCCTACTATCAATATAAGAATTAGTGGTTTCGTGTATTTATTAAGCAGGGAATGACATCTAGGAAGGCTGATAGTTGGTTTGGATTTTATGTAACTAAAAAGCCCAGGTCTAAGGTTCCAATTTTGGCTTCACCACTACCTACCTCTCTGACTCAAATATATAACACAGATCTTTCAACTTGGTTTCCTCATTTGTTGGTTTGTTTGTTTTTTAAAAGACAAAGTCTCCCTATGTTACCCAGGCTGGAGTGCAGTGGTTATTCACAGGTGCAATTATAGCTCACTACAGCTATAACTCCTGGCCTCAAGAGATCCTCCCACCTCAGCCTCTCAAGTAGCTGGGAGTACAAACATGTGCCAAAGAACCTGGCTTAGCCTCCTCATTTTTAAAATAAGAGGACTGAAACACATGATCTTCTGTGTTGACATCTACTTCTTTTTTTTTTTTGAGACGGAGTCTCACTCTGTTGCCCAGGCTGAAATGCAGTGGCATGATCTCAGCTCACTGCAACCTCCGCTTCCTGGGCTCAAGCAATTCTTGTGCCTCAGTCTCCTGAGTAGCTGGAATTACAGACATGTGCCACCACACCTGGCTAATTTTTGTATTTTTAGTAGAGATGGGGTTTCATCATGTTGGCCAGGCTGTTCTTGAACTCCTGACCTCAGGTGATCCGACCACCTTGGCCTCCCAAAGTGCTCAAATTACAGGTGTGAACCACTGCACCCAGCCGACATCTACTTCAAAATTCTAAGTGTAGATGTTGATGAGCACAAGGCTTCATCTGACCACAGACAAAAGGGAGAGAATTCCTCCTTCTCCAGCATAAGACACTACTGCCACATTTTAGAACTCATGTATTCTACTCATTCTGCCTGGCAACTCCAGGACAGTTATTTTTGTGAACCCTCAAATATCTCATCTTAGAAACAGTATATACTTTTTGGAAAGGAAAATATAATTTTGAAAGTCAGTCTTAATTGTTCTTCAGTTTTTTAATACTAAAATGAAATGTTCAGGGATCCTATGGGGGTTAGGAGAGGGTGGGAGGATTGGCTGCCTCTAACACACAATTCCCAGCAAAGCCATCAGTAAAAACACTGGAAGCTACACTGACCCAGGTGGCTAGAAGACAGAGCCTTATCCCAAGTAGTTACAGCTATCACCACCTCTGGGTCCCCTATGAAAGCTGGTTTGGGTCTACCTTCTCATTTGAACCAAGGCATGGGAATTCTTTGTACAAGACAGAGGAGGATAAGTCTGCCCTCTCACTCCCTGTTGCTGCAGAAAGATAGGCGAAAGGTAGAGCCTTGTACCTTGAGGGAGGCACTAGGCTACTTTCACAACCATGATTCAATACTTTGAAGCATTTAATACTAACAAAGAGTCCAGTTTCACTCTATTTTCTATTTCTTTCTTCATATAGACCGTGACTTTTTGGTTTGCCCCATAGGTCATCAGCCTTCCTGTGATAGGGAATAAGCCAGCAAGGAACAGAACAAGCAATCCCCACTCTCCACAAAAACGCTTCTCTGGAAACCAAAGCAAAGGGTAATTTCTTACCTGTCAATGACTAAGTTCCCGTCATTGTTGCGGATCCCTGCCCACATGTCCCACAGCTCACTCTCAGAGGGCCGAGTATACGGCCCAAAGACTGGGGTGAGACTGAAAGAGTCCAAAACGCAGGAAGATAAGTGTGAGGAGAACTCAGAATGTTCAATATGGCTGGAACCTCAGAGGCCATGCAGTCCCGGCCATCAGTCCGACCCATAGGTGATTTATGAATTCCTTCTACTTCCCTGGCAAGCGGCCAACACCTTTGCTTTAAAATATCAAGCCCTAGGATTTGGCCCAGAATTGTAATGGCAGCAAGTTTTCACAACATTGTTCCTAGGCCACAGTCAATATTTGACAGTGACACTTACCCTCGCGAGAACACGAAGAAGTTCATCAGTCGTGTGAGGATGGGTGACAGCACACCTCCGTCTTTGAGTAGCTGGAGGGGAATAAGTGGAAGTAAAGCTCAAGAATCCAGAGGAAGACCTTCACCTGGGCAAAGGGTTTTATATTAGGAACTAAATCTTTTTTTTTTTTTTTTTTTTTCCTGAGACGGAGTCTCACTCTGTTGCCCAGGCTGGCATGCAGTGGCCTGATCTTGGCTCACTGCAAGCTCCGCCTCCCAGGTTCATGCCATTCTCCTGCCTCAGCCTCCTGAGTAGCTGGGACTACAGGCACCCGCCACCATGCCCGGCTAATTTTTTGTATTTTTAGTAGAGATGGGGTTTCACCATGTTAGCCAGGATGGTCTCAATCTCCTGACCTCGTGACCCACCCGCCTTGGCCTCCCAAAGTGCTGGGATTACAGGTATGAGCCACTGTGCCTGGCAGGAACTAAATCTTTAGCCAAATCTCCTGCTACTGAATGGTTTGGTACTTGGCATTTTGTTTTGCCTACCCACATTCTTCTCTCAAGGAAGATAAATCTATTTCTAATTCCATCTAAGATTACTTTGCTACAATTCACTAAATCCCTAAAACTTTAACTCTGATACATTCAAGTTTAGAGTAGAATCCTAATTTCTTCAAACATCAAGCTTGTGACACAGATCTTTCCATAGCTGTTATTTCTCCAAATATTTGTTGATCTCTTATTCTTAGGATGGGTTTTGGGTTTATGTAGGGGCCACTGCCTCTGCTTTAGTTGCCTACGAAGGGAAAAACTAACTTCATTAAGATAAATTCCCAAGGAAGAGTACTGAACTACTGCCGATCACAGGAGCTACGGCCCTTAAAGGTCCCAGCATTATCTACGTCAGTGCAAATCCTCAAACTAAAGTCTGTCAGTGAAGTAGCCAACCTTTTGGAGAAGGAGTGGACGGTGAGTCTCAGGAAAGATACCTGTAGGAGAAGAGACTTATCTTAGTCATTTACCTACAGCTTTAATTTTTTTTCTTTTTTTATAGAGACAGGGTCTCACTGGTCTCAAGCTCAAGCAATCCTCTTGCCTCAGTCTCCCAAAGTGCTGGGATTACAGGTGTAAGCCACCTCGCCCAGCCTACCTACATTAAGGTCAAAGGCAAGCCCATTATCAGAAACTACCCACCCTATTCACCATCACCTCTGCAGCCTTTACTACCAAAACAATTACAAATAAAAATTTAATACTGTCATCTAATTACATCTCCAGGAATTATATGTTTAACTGGTCACAATAAATCCCACTGGAATTACTTTTCCCATCTTAAAGATTGTGAAACGGGGAGAAAATATATGGTCATCTAAAATGCTGATAACCAGGCTGACTCCCCTTAGCATTTCCGCCATCACTCAGAACACAAGGGTTAATGATTTGGGCTGCAAAAATAAAACAAGAAGTTTTTAAATAAGTATAGGTCCTTTAAAAAACCTAGAGTTTTTCTTTTCCATTTCTCTTCAGAGTCAGTGGAAGAAAGCCATGACCATAAGTGATAAAGGGAGAGACAGATTTCTCTCCCAGTCTGCTCTTAAGGCATTCAGGAGACATTTGGGTATTCATGGACTTGCAAGCTGGCTGCCCAGAAGGTCTAATCAGGGGTTCGGTATTTTCTAACTGAAACTTGGCAGTGCCAGTTAGGAGTTGGGGAGACTCATACAGTGAAGTCCTCACTTAACATCAGGATAGGTTCTTAGAAACTTCGGCTTTAAGCAAAATGAGGTACAGCAGGTCCTTGAATAACATCCTTTCTTTAAAACACTGATGAGAAAAAAAATTGGTTCCATTGTAACATTTTATTTAAAGTCACAGTTTCCAAGAACCCATTGATGACATTAAGTAAGGATTTTCTACACTAACATCATAGTAGGATTAGAAACACTTGTGGCTTTTTTCTGTACCTTCAATCCTATACTCTCATAAGCTATTGCAGTTGTCACAGATACGGCAGACAGCCTTTACCCTCCCCACTCCTGATACAGCTGTTCCTAGGTCCTCCACTAGATCCTGCTATCTAACGCATTGAAAAAGCACATATGACTATAATGCAGCTTTTTACTGACTGTGTAAGTAAAGTCACTATCCTTTGTAATGCTGTTTGTTTATTTAAAAACATTCTGAGAAAGGGTCCATAAATCCTGTCAGGCCACCAAAGGAGTTGATGGCACAGAAAAGGTAGAGATCTCATAGTTTTAATTATGTCTACTTGCAATATTATCAGATTACCATTTAGGTGCCGCTGTGGTATCTAACGATGGCCCTTCTAGACTACACCCACTTTCTACCTACCGCCAAGACATTTACCTCCATTTGACAGACAGAGACTCTTTATGGTAAGCCGACCAGATCGATTCTGCTTGTACCTAGAAGGGAGATGAGGAAACACACATGTAGCTGAGCAGACTTAAACCAGTGCACCTCTGAAGACAACTCCCAAGAGAGAAAAAGGATGCAAAGAGTCCAGAAACGATGTGCTCTCCTAGCATTATAAGCTGAAGTTTGACGCTCCACTGACCTGTAGAGAAGCTCCTGAGCAACCGTATCTCCATAGTCATGAGAAAGAAGGTTGATCCTGCGGTTCTGGAGCCCCAGATGCCGCAAAAGTGCTTCCACGATGCTGGCCTGCTCAAATATGGAATAGTGATGTGGTCTCTGAGGAAAAGAAAGCCCACATACACAGGATGAAGTCGTGAGGACAGCTCTCTGCCAGCCGAACCCTCACAGTCTATGTCCGTCCTGACACCCCATCACCAGCCCCAGACAGGTGCCGCTTACCGGTTTGTCACTGAAGCCAAAGCCTAAGAAATCAAGGGCAATCACCCGATGAAACCTCAAGGTCAGACCTTCCCAAATCTACAAAAAAGAAAGGATGATTTGGGCTTTCTGCTCTTGCCCCTCCTTTTCACCAGACCTATAGTAGCACAGGAGCTTCAACCCTCTCTTGGCTTAACAGACTTCCATAAAGAGAAAACCCCATGAAACCACCACAGGTCCCACAGATGATCCTCTTGGAAAATGCTTTATTCCTGCTAATTAATCCCTGTTGAGGGAGGATAACTTGGCAGTGATTCCTTCCAGAGTGTCAAGGAGTTTATCATTCCCTTTCAGTATATAAGAAACAGTTCAACATTTAATATTTTTTAGAAGCAATTCAAATGTGCAAGAGCCTTCTAGTGCTGACAACAAATCCTTTTATTTTAATTTTCATTATTTTAATAAAAATTTTAAATTTTTATTAATTTTTATTTTAAAAAATTATTTTTTTTAAATAAATAAAAGGTTATTTTAATTTTTATTTAAAAAAAAATTTTTTTTGAGACAGAGTCTCGCTCTGTCACCCAGGCTGAAGTGCAGTGGTGCGATCTCAGCTCACTGCAACCTCTGCCTCCCGGGTTCAAACGATTCTCCTGCCTCAGCCTCTCGAGTAGCTGAGATTACAGGCTTGTGCCACCATGCCTGGCTAATTTTTATATTTTTAGTAGAGATGGGGTTTCGCCATGTTGGCCTGGCTGGTCTCAAACTCCTGACCTCAGGTCATCTTCCCACCTCAGCCTCCCAAAGTGCTAGATTTGAGCCACTGCGCCCGGCCGAGGCTTTTTAAGACATAGTAGGACCTAGAAGTCTGACTTCATTACCTTGTACCAATCGTAGCTGGATGTTGGAAAACCGTGTAAAAGCACAACTATCTCTGGACTTCCAACCACACCCACAGAGTCTAGGAAGAAGGAAAGTACAGTCAATCAGGCCAAATTCCTATAAAAATAACCTCGAAGATGTTAAAATCTAAGTAATCTGATACAAAAGACAAGAAACTGTGACCAAATTGACATTAAAATGACACAATTCTTTTTAAAATGTAAGCTTACTGCGTTAGGTGAGAACAGGCCTTTTCTCCTTTTGATCTGTATATTAAAACACTGTAAAAATCATGCTATGTGAAAATACTTGAAGGCACCTGTTTACTCAACCTAGGTGTTTTTTTAAAAAGCATATCCCCATTTCTCCTTTTGTTTTGTAATATGCAAATTTTTTCATGGTGAAAAGTAAATTTTCACAGTTAAAAGCATATGATCCCAACACAAAAACTACAGATTATTTGTACTTTATCATGAATGGCCTCACAGAAATTCTCTAAGAGATAGCAACTATTCCCAAAGAACACCTTTAGCTTATACTGTTTGCTCAGCACTTTTCATTCAGCGGGAGACCCAATCTAACATCAAAAACATAATAAAACTATTACAAAATCCTGTCAACTACAAAAAGGGCTTAATCAACATAAACATGAACTTTTTAAATGCATATGACAATACGGAAGCATTCAGCATCATCTAAATTAGGTAAACATTTAGACAATATTAACCTTGCTAATAGTATTGGATTAAAACTGGTATATTCATATACTGCCAGTGACATGAAACTTTGGTAATAAGGTTTTCAAAAATAATTTAGAAGCAGTTAAAAATTGTATATACTTTAGCCTAAGAGTCTTTTTCTTGAGAATCTGTGCAAATAAAATCATTCCATTTATACAAGTAATATAGTTTGAAAATGTAAGGAAAAAATAAACTGTACAGACATGAAGCTTTTCCTTCAACGTTAGTTTTTTAAAACAGTAAAACTGGAAATAACCCAACCCAACATAATGAAAATTGTATACTTACTTAATTGAATATAGCAAATGAGAGGAGGTCAGGAGCAATAATGAAAAACGGTTTATGACAAACATTTTTCGTTATTGCTCTTGACCCCCGCTCAAAATAAATCATTTCCAATCTGTTTCTCAGGTTCTTCACCTATAAAATGAGGTTAATGGCACCTATCTCCAAATGCTGTTATAAAGATTAAACAATGAAGGCTGAAAATATAACTCAGTGCCTGACATATGGTAATTACTTGATAAGTAGTGGTCATAATAATCATCATCGCTAGCAAATTAATTTATATAATGGTATTAAGATTTAAATCACAGTTACACTACAAATAATCTACAGAAAACGGTAAAATGAAATCAGGGATGGTGAGGAGAGAACCAATGGTGGTTATATCTATTAATATTTTATATATTACCTGACACTAAGGTTGCCCAATTAAAAAAATAATAATATCAGAATACATATCAAGCTACAAAGAAAACTTATACTAAAAGGTAAGGTCTGCAGGTTGGAATCTCAGTCCCAACCCCCATTCTCCCAGCAGTTTTCTGCGCTTCTCTGCAACCTCACTACACAGAAAGAGAGAGATACTCTCCTCCATCATTAAGGAGCAACAAGAGACCAGCAGACACACAATAAATACCTCAGCTGGGACTTACATGACCGATACACGCAGGTGTTCCAATAGTCCACTTCTTACCTTGGTAGAAGATACGCAGTCCCTTGTAAGTGAAAAACTTGCCTGAAGACTTCCATGAGTGAAGGGCAGGGGAGAGCTGAGGGGGTGGGATGTGCAGGTACGCAGCAAGCAGGGGCACGGCCAACAGCCCCACCTGGACCCACCACTCCCTCATCCTGTAGGAAAAGCAGAGGCCCACTGTAAGCAGTCAGGTAATGTTGTACACCCATCTACAAACCAAAACCTGGTAAGATGGCGTGGGAGACTGCTATTACCAGCAATGATTACGTTGCCCTTCACATAGGCACAAAGCTGACCAAGACTATAATCGAACCTCTGTCTGCCATAGCACTCGCCGTATTTGTTCATCATTCTAATTTTAAGGAAAAAAAATACATTATTTCAACATACAATCTGCTCCCCAACTTTAACCCCTTAGCCCCTACCCTTGTGGTCTTCCCAATACCTGCTGAAGAGGACTTTATATAAATAAAAGGGAGATGACTTAAATGCTGGACACTCTTTCGCTGACTTTTATCAAGGCTTCCCAGGAAAAAAATAACTTCTTATTTACTCCAAAAGCTCTACCATCTACCCACTAGCCCCCACGAGTAAAATGTTCAAAATATATATATGTGCTATATCTCATGTCTTAAAAGAGTGTGTGTGTAGTAACTTATCACATGTCCTCAAGCAGAGAGTTGCTCCTGATTTTTAATGCATGCTTATCAGCCCTCCTGCCTAAATGAAGCCCCATTTAGTACTCGTTTCTGGGTTTGGGCTGAGAAACTGCTCAGGGTAAACAGTCTGAAAGTAAGATAGCTGCGCTGGGTATTCCAACATAAGCAGCTTTGTTATGACCCTGAATATCTAATCTCTTGAGAGGTCAGGGCAATAGATTATATTTCTGCTTTTCTTAGCAGACTCTTGAAGTTTCCATTTAATTTCCTAAGACGCTCCCCCACCCCCCAGATAAGGCATAACTCATACCCAGCATGTGAGAATTGATTTTGTCTTTGGAAAAAGAGCACTGGTTGATACACCCAACTCTTCCATGCCCAGGACTTCAAAGGCACAAGTCAGTTTATCCACATTGACAAGGAGTGCCAAACAGGAATTATAAACAGTTCTGTTTCAAGTCTATGACTTCTGATGGTCAACAGATCAAGAATTGTCAGTAGAATGGAAGTTCTCTCAAAACAGCCAGAATGGAAATAATACCCTCCAAAACTAAAAATAGAGTTGTCATAGAGCTAAAATAAATTAATTGCTAAAGCCCTGGGGGAAATGGCTTTCTGTTTATACGCACATTCTTCCCTATTACCTGTAATCTACACGTTCACTAACTTCCTCAACTTACAAGATCCTTCCCCCCCCCCCCCCCCCGCAAATCTCTGATAGTTTTAGAGATAGAGATAGCTAAACTCTAAAAACAAACCTGTGGTTTTACAGTGGTAAAATAACCATGTTTCTTGAAGAATCTCAGCTCCCCAGCCTATTTTTTAGGCATTATTAGGGCAGTCATTTCCTTTTTTCTCCAAAGTACCTGTCCATAAGACGGATAGAACCATTTGGTCCTACTTGTCAAGGTAATACTAGAAATGGTTCAAAAAAAGTGCCAGAACATGATAGTTATATCACAGTTTTCACCCCACAACAATAGCAGGCTATATCCCAAATACCTCCTTGAAAGGTCAGATGACAAAAAGCATTAAGTTTTGATGATCAGTTGCCCAGCGCTATCTGTCCTTTACTTCAATGCATACATTTTCATGTGCGGATTTCATTACTCCTTTCCCCCTGTGCTTCTCATCGCGCTCTCCACGGGGTTCCAGCAGCTGAATCTCTGCAGTGACTCAGCAGAGAGCCCCGGGAGGGGCGGCCAGAGCGGCAAATGGGGAGGCTTCCCCGCTGGTGCTTAAGGAAAATGGGGGTTAAAAATCGAGGCGATCGACTAACATACTCCACTCCTGGACACCCCCCTCCACACCCTCCTCCTCTTACTCCAAGAAGGCAAAGCGGCAACCTCTCAGGGAGCCGTTTCTTGTCTCATTACCTCAGTAAAAATGCCCCCATGACCTTTTTGGATTTTTAGAAGTGAAGCAGCCTAGCAGTCAGTAGGCGAAATGGGTTAAGCAAGCATTTTTTGGCCAAAATCCCAATTATTTGATGAGCCATGAGCAGAGAAAATAAGCAAACTCCAGTAACAAACTTTCCAGAAATTTCTGGGCCTTGATTTCTTCATCTGGTAAACAGAAAAAAACACTCCCGTAATAATACCACCCAATCTGCTGCCCACCTGATGGCGTCGCCGCAAAATCAATGAACCACTTTATAAACCCGCGAAACTAAGGCGAACAATCGCTGCGCAACATGACCGTTTGGTCACATCGCCGTTCTCACTCGCGCTTGTTACTGAAATCTGAAAAATACTTAAGGCAGCTGACGGGTACTGCGAGTTCTAGTCACTCTGCGGTGACTCCCGCCACCGTGGAACCTGGGTCTTGAAATCCTAAGGTGCACCGCGGCGATCTCGGCACTGCGATTATCTTGTTTTTGAAATTCTAACGTGCGCCACAGAGATACCGGGGTTCTAAAAACTCTAAATCGCACCAGGACGATGCTGGGGTCTATCCTTTAGGTCGCACCACGGCAATGGCGGGGTCTAAAAATCCTACATCGCACCAGGGCTCTTTGGGGGTCTAGAAATCCTAAAGCGCGCCACGGTAATGGCGGGGTCTAAAAATCCTACATCGCACCAGGGCTTTGCCGGGATCTATAAATCCTAAATCGCGCCACGGCAAAGGCGGAGTCTAAGAATCCTGAATCGCACCAGAGGGAAGCCAGAGTCCAAATATCCTAAATCAAATCAGGGCGATGCTGGGGTTTAGAAATCCTAAATCATGCTGCAACAATGACTGAGTATAAAAATCCTAAATCGCGCCAGGGTGATGCCAGGATCTAAAAATCCCAGTTCGTATCAGGGTGAGACCAGGGTCATTATGGATCCCAAGTCATATCAAGATAACGCTGGGGTCCCAAAATCCTAAATCTCACCAAGGCAATCCCGGGGTCTAGAAATCCTAACCCAAAGGGGTCCCGCGCTCTGAACATTCCATTGCGTGCAGGAGTGACACCCCCTCCTCAAGTAGGCAGAGCGGGCGCGGAATGCGTGCCGCCTGTCGGTAGAGTTTTCGCCCGAAGGCAGCCCAGGCTCGAGCACGGGCAAGCAGTCCGCCGCTCGCCCGCCCGCGCCCTAGTCCCAGGGCGGCCAGCCACACCCCCTCATTCCCGCCGCACACCCACCTGCGGAGGCGATCTCGGCGCACCATGGCCGCGTTATCCCATGCCGCCCGCCGCAGCGTTGCAGAGCACCGGGCGCCGCGGAGCCCGCAGCCGTGCAGGGCCAGCCAGCAGCAGGGGCGCAGCCCGCAGCCCACAGCAGCGCAGGGCGGCGCCGCGCCCGGCAGCTACAGCCACTCCGGCGTGCGCTGCGGCACTGCGCTTGCGAGGCGCAGCTGCCGCAGAGGAGGTGCCGTGGTGTGCTGGTTGCCGCGGCAGCGCGGAGCGAGTGGGCACCGACTTTTAGAGCCCACCCGCGCCCCGCCCCTAGCCCGCCCATCGCCGCAGAACCCCTACCGCCTGCTCCCCCGCTCACCGCAGAGCCCCTCCCTGCCACTCTGCCACCGCCACGGCCACAGAGATGGGGTGCCCCTCTAACAGTGGCTCCTTTAGGGAGCACCTTCAGGGGTGTCGAACCCCCTCCCCAAGACCCCGCTGCTTCCTCATGAACCCCCAACCCTGAGCCCGAGATTCTGCTGCAGAAACCCTCCCCTGATGAGTTAAGGCCACGGGCAAAAACAGCAGACCCCTGAGAGCCCCAACACTTTCCTTAGACCACCCACAAACCCCACAGGCCGCCCACAAGCCCCACAGGAGGATGGCCGCTCGACCTAAGGGGCAGCAGGGCTCGGGGGTGCCGGCCGTGGCGCTTGCTCCCGTCCCTCGTACTGAACCGTGAGAGGTGGCAAGCCACGAGGGCCCTACGCGCCCTAAGTCCCTGACTCCCGGTAACCACCAAGGGCACGAGCAAGCGGCTAGGGAGCAACAAGCTCTGCTGGACCCACCACCAAGCTAGTAAACAGATTCATGATGTGGCCACTATGGCCAAAGTTGCACAAAGTCCGGTTTCTGCCACTCCAGCCACCGCCGCCGAGCGGGGCAGGTTTCCTTTACAGCAGCGCGACGTGGTCGGCATGCCAGACTCCCGGCCACAGCAGCGCCCTCGCAGCCCCGCTCCCTGCATGAGCCAGTCCGCGCTGCACAGAACAGGGGGCACAATTAGGAGAGCAAAGCCCCCTTTATTTACGTAATATAGAATCACAGTGCAAGGGCTCAGTGGCACAAGAAAGAGGGAGGAATTTTTCTAATCCATAATCCTTTAAAAGGCATCCCTTACGCCTTTGAAAAGTGTAGAGTATCACGAAGTGTCTGTGTTCATTTTCTGACCATAAACTGAAATACTGGTGAACGCACGCGGGGCGCAAGCTGGTGAGCGGGGCGGCCGGCCGGCCGGTGCCCGCTGCATCCAGAGGGGGCGCTGCAGGCCTCCCTTCAGTCGCGCACGGCCCAGGCCCTCCGCAACTCTGCAACTCTGCACCCCGAAAGGTTCGGCGCTGGCCCGCAGGGCCTCCAACTCGTGACCGAGGGCGACCCACGAACACTGAGGAAACTACCGCCTATGAGCCTGTCATCAGAACCTGTGGCACAACACAGGTACACTTCTGCAAGGGTCTGGTTGCCCCCAGTAAACGCACTCATGAAACAAAAGCTGATTTAGCACCTACAGCGCGCTAAGAACCGGGGGTGCGAAATAAATGAGAAATAGCCCCGGCCTGAGAGCAAGACGCAGGCCATCTGGAGGGGCAGACAGACAAGAACTGCCACTTTTAAAAATTTTCCTTGTAATTTCCTAGTGATGTTTGTGGCAGTTGACCCACTCCTCCCTAACATGTAAGGCCCTCAGAGGCCGAGCCCAAGTATTATTCGCCTTTTGTATCCCCAGAGCCCGCCACGGAGCTGGCCCCTAATAAATCCTGCTTGAATAAGTACAAGAATTTGAGGGCGCACAGGGGAGGAAGTAATTAAGGGGAGGGGGGAAGGGTGGTCTTGAATGATGAATAGACATTTACAAGAGAGACAAAGAACATTCCAGCCGGAGGGGACGGCTGTCGCAAAGCACTGGAGGCTCAGGGCCGCGCGTCTGCGGAAAACGGGAAGTCCTTTGAGCCGGGGCACCAACAGGCAAAAAATTAGGCTAGCAAGAGAATTTCATCGTAGGGAATTAGGAATTTGTTCTAGAGAAAATGAGAAGCCACAGATGGATTTAAACTCTTTATGGCCTTAATTGGTTACTTAACAAAATTTAAATTAGTCTCTTTACAAGTCAAAGATTACCTATTTTAACTATCACTACCTTTTAAAGACTGAATTACTCTTCAAAATCTAAATCGGTACTTCCAACAAGGTAAAGGCTTTCCTATTTTAATAATAACAATAACAAAAGCCTTTGCGTTATATATTTTTCATACTTATTGTTAATGGAACCTTTGAGTCCTACAAACAATTCCACACTTTCATTCTCACCAGGCCAGAAACACCAGCACCCAAGATGAAGGCAATTTTCTGTTTATGGACTGAGTGCCCCACAAAGGATCTTATTCTGAAGGCCATGGAACATATCTACCCACATGGCTCAAGTGGACAGCCTGGAGGAGAAACAGTTTAAAGGCCCTAGGGGAAGCGGGGAGCACCAGGGAGAGCTCCCCAAGGCAACAGGAATTCCAAGTCTGACACTCGGGAGAAATCCTCCCTTCAGACATTATTGATGTCTTGCCGAGTAATTAGGAAAAACGTCTTTGAAGGAGGGATTGAGGTTGAGATGGGCATGGAACCCAGATCTTAGGCAGAGAAAGCATATTCCTGTTTGGAAGAACCCTGAGTACATAAGTCAGCTCAAAGATACCAGCTTGGCCCAACCAGGAATTTGCTGTCGGAAGTCTGAGAGAGAAAATGCTGGCCATAATCCCCCAGGAGCCAAAGAGTTAACGAATCTTCTAAATGTGCCTGATTTACTTCCAGAAAGGAGCTTCCTCCACAGGGGAAGAATTTGACCCAAGGTATAAAACACTCAGAGCCCTGAGAAAACACACAGCCACACATAAATTCAAAGCCTGCTCTGGCTTGCTCGAAGTTGCACCCTTTCAGTTCCTCCAGGCTGATGCTATCCTGGGCCGTGCAGGGTATCTCATGCAGTAGTCTTCCCTCAGCCAGTGGCTTTATCACACATTCTTGTCACATTCCAAGTCTAACACAGTTCCGCCTCACAGTAAGACCTCAGATTTGTGCAAAAATTCATGTAGAAAGCTCTGCATTTATTATCTCGCTGATTCACAACAGTGGTATGGGATCTGCAGGGACGGTACCACAGATTCAATAACCGTATTTTTCTAACCCGTTTGAGAACCATAATGTGACAAGTGCAGGATATTTATGGAGACAACAAGACACAATTGGGACTGCCACTTTCAAGAGCCATCATTGTAGATTCAAATCAACTAAAACACTTCATAATGGGAGAAACTTGGTTGAACAGAGGAGCACATGTTAACGAAGGGGTTTTGGTTGAAAAACTTACCGAATCAGTAGGACAGGACCCTAAAAAAGGCTACTGTGACTGTAGACTGAGGGGAAGTACCAAAAATAAGCTAATCCTACTCTATTCTGCTAGTTAGAATTCACAGAAAGCATTTTATTCTGTTCTACAGAGCAGATAGATATTGAAACACAGAGACGAATAGGAATGTGTTCAGAGAAGATCAACTAAATGAATTGCAAATTGAAGGTGTAACAGCTCTTGTATTTTAAGCTCCTACCATGAGCATGGATCTTCACCCAACATATCCCTGATCCTCACAGTAGCCTGGCTAGACAAGTATTTTCACTCACAGATTTCAGAGAAAGATACTGCAGCTCGGAACGCTGAGTGTTAGGATGTGAAGGGGCTGGGAATTGAACGCAGATGTGCCTGGCTCCAAAGCTGGCCTTCTTTCCACTACTCCACACTGCCTCCCTGTTTGAAATAGCTGGGCATATTTAGTTTGAAGAAAAGAAGCCTTGTGGAGTAAGTAGAAGAAGGAAATGTGTTAGCGGTCCTCAAATATTTGTGGAAGCAGCATTAGACATTTTATTCTGTATGGCTCCAATGAGTGCAAATTGTAGAGAAACAGATGTCGATTCAACATAAAGAATTTTCCAACAGTAGGGGCTGTCTAGAGGGATTGGGTGGCTCGGCCATTTGGGGATGGGACAAATTCCCTGTCCACTGGGGGCTGGGTAACCCTGTGGCAGGTATGCAAGCTCTGCATATAAGACTGAATGAATGATTTGCAAGGTCTTTTCCCATCTGATGTAAAGTAAGGCTCCACGATAAACTGGAACTTGGCCAAGGTGATCCTCTACTGAGGGGACAAATCCACAACTCAGTCTTCCCTAGTTATGTCCCTCAGCCCAGAACCCTTGGTATGACATGCTGCTTCATACTGAGGGCAAAACAAATTGAAGACATTATCATCAATAAAATCACATCAACCTCGCTCTCAACCAAATTAACCAATATGGCCGGGCACAGTGGCTCACACCTGTAATCCCAGCACTTTGAGAGGCTGAAGCAGGCGGATCACTTCAGATCAGGAGTTTGAGACCAGCCTGGCCAACATGGTGAAACCCCATCTCTACCAAAAATACAAAAATTAGCCATGTGTGGTGGTGTGTGCCTGTAGTCCCAGCTACTTGGGAGGCTGAGGCAGGAGAATGGCTTGAGCCCCGGAGGTGGAGGTTGCAGTGAGATGAGATGCCGCCACTGCACTCCAGCCTGGGCGACAAAGCGAGACTTCATCTCAAAAACAAAACAAAACAAAAACAAATTAACCAATATATCCCTGAAGCGACTGGTGTCTTCCTCTTCAGGCCCATTTTTGAGTAAAAGTCTTTGGCTGTAAAAAGCTCAAAAGATGAGTGGTAGACGAAGGAAGCAGTGGAACTGAATAATCTCTTACCCAAATAAGATGACCCTAAATGACAGATGGTTGTTTCTCCAGGTGACAGCGGGCACCCCTAAACTATCTTCACACACCCTCTGCATTACTCCACACATCCCATTATCCCACAGCTGGTACTGCTTCACCAGGTACTCCTACCCCACTATCCCGCACCTAGAGGACATTTTATCCACTCAAACAGATAAACAGGCTGAAGGATTCTAATTAAGTAATAGAATCGTGCATTTTTATAGCTCTTTACCCTTTCACAGATATTATCTCATTTGTCCCTCACCACAGTCCCCTAAGGAAAATAGCTACTTTCTTTCAGGCAGGCAATTTCCTAGCTGCCTGGGGAGGCAAGGGCTTCAGCACAAACACAGTCGGTCTTTCTCGCTTTTTTTTTTTTCTGTTACTACTTTCCCACTTTAGA